CGCCGTTTATGAGAAACCTTCTGAGCGTTCTGGCCTTTCCCGTCAACTCTTAAGACTTTCACGAGACAAAATGGGGCAACCAATTTTCTTGCTTCAATTTTCTTGAGGTCTCATGTTCAAATCTCGGGTCGAAAAAAAAAACAATTTTTGGGTTTTTTTTTCACAAAATTTATTTTTAGCAGCTCAGAGCTAGAGAGGGGAAAAGGGTACACCTGTGTTTGCGCACACACTCGTTCACTCATTTAGATTACTATTTTTCGTCGAGACTGATCACGTGACCGGAATTGAGTCTGTAGTACATTATTATTACTAGGTTCTCGACTACTTCGGCCTACGAGTCCGTCTGGGCAGGTTCCACCCTCTTACCAATTTCTCCCTCTTGCACTGTTATTTCTCGGTCTGAAGGGTATAAAGAGCCAGTATAATTACAGATTTTGAGGCATTCAATCTTAGTCTTCGGAGGGGGTAACGCATCTGTAGCCTCTTTATATGAAAAACAATAACAAATCCAATCCAATGTGGCTCATTTTATTTCGTTAATACATTTTTTATTTTTTTATAGCGTTCTGCCCCGGTTTCGCACTGATGATATCTGGATTCTACAACTGCACCACCTACCGGGTCCATCTGTACCGATAACCTTTGCGGAAGTGAAAGCAATGTGTTGACAAAGAAGAGTTTTACCGCAATCTATATTATATTTTTTACGTTTACCATTTTCCTAGAATTGAAATGCAACACCTTTTTCTATGTAAAATATCAGTTTTTTTTATGTAACCACTATTGCAAGTAGTAGTATGTTAAAATAAATATTGCTGTTTATCCAGCGGATTGTTGGAAAACTGCCAAATCGGAATATAAAACTCAACACAAAACAACAGTAGTTTCCTAAAGTAAAAACGCTCTTAATCTTAGTCTATGCGAACTTCGAAATAACGTCTACTGCATTCGCTTTCGCAATATATTGGAACTTTTATTTTCGTTCTTTAAAAAGTGACAATAACTTATAAGTAAATTTTACTTATTCCTATAATTTCTTTCAACATATTTTATATAAATTATTTACCTTTACTAAACATTAATCTCATCTTATTTATTTCCCGCTTCACCATAATTGAGAAATATTGTGTTCTCATGAAACAAACTTCTGAAATGAAATACATATTTCGTATCATGTCCTGAGAGATATGGATAACAAAACAAAGTATTAAAACAAAACCCGCTCATAATCCTAAAATTAATAAATTATTTATTCCACACTAACAAAAGAATGTACAAATAAATTGATACAACAAAAACAACCAAAAGAAAAACATTATACACATACATGGGGTTACAGCAATGAAAAGACATTTAACCCAGCACGATGTTGTAGCGGTATTCCCACATCCACAGTGCTGTTATTCTGTCGGTGCCTCATATTTCGATTATAGCAAAAATAATATGTCCGAGCAGTTGACGTACATATTATTTATCCTACAATTACAAACGAGTTTTGCAATTGACAAAAAATCTTTTGTCTAAGCCAATTAAAAGTTAAAAATTTATCTTAACTAAATAAGAGTGCTTGCTCAAAGGAACTTTTTGTTTGATTTTATTTTATTGTAAAAACTTGTAAATGAATACAAAACAAATACAACTTTACAAATTCAATAACTGAAACTGTATTCAACAACTTTTTTTCTAGGTCCTATCTATATAGGATTTTCACCTCATGCTATTTTATCATGAACAAGCGATGCACCCGACCTCACACGTGTAATATCTGAATTTCCACAGGCTGTATGAAAGTAAATTTGTGACAAACACGTGTATGAATGAATTATATACATAAAGATGATTATCTTTGTGTGTCTATTAGTAATCGTGTAACTTGTGAACGATTTGATCAATTGAGGCCATATTCACACAATATACTATCTGTCTGATCATGGCGATGGTTTACTGCTAGCTTGGGATTTGGTTTAAGGACATAGGAATTCAATAAATAGCGCAAAAGTTATTAACCTGTTCTGTATTTATGGATCAAAATTCCTCACATGAACTATAGTTTCCAAAATATCACAAAATTGGGACCCGATAATTAGCGTTCTGTTCTAGTTAATACGAGAGAATTAAGTTAAGTTAAAGTAAAAGTAACAGCCTATATACGTCCCACTTCTTCTTCTCATTTCTGAGAGGAAAGTTTTAGGAGAAAGACGGCCTCCGTTCTTAAAATTGAAATTAAAATTTTTATTAGTGTCGATGGGATCGAACCCGGGTTGCCCACGTACCGTGAAAATTACTACAAGCGCTAAGCTCTGAGCTACCATGGCTCTGTCTAAGTATAAAGTAAATATATAAATAAATTCTAAATCGTCATATCGTCCAGAACAACGGTTGCTGTGGCGGCTAGTATTTTATAAATTACTTTCTTAAAATGTTATCCATCTCTTATGAAATGAATTAATTTGATTTATTAGAGACAATTAGTTGTTGTAAGAACAAACGACTTTAATAATCTTCGCCTGTAGTAAAAGCCTGTTCTGAATCTCCTATACAACAAAATGTCTGTTGTTAATAGAATCATTATTCAGTTTATATAAAATTATATTAAATTTTTCACTGTTAATTTTCTTCATGGCCGGTTTGTGGCAGTCCACTTTTTTGATCAATATACTCTCTCATGGTGCACTGTTTCTATTTGTCTTATTCTAGTATTGCCAGTCGCTTTCGTGTTTCATTCGTAGTAGACCTTTATTTCATCCCGTTATATTGAAATTGAATTTTATTACTACCTACAGTAGAAAATGAAGGTAAAGTAAAAACTTACAAAACAGATAAATAGCATTAAAGTTATGGAATATTTGATATAGGTCATGTAATACACAAACCGTTACTATAATAACTGGTACTCGTTATTGAAACTGATCTTAATGTTAGAAAAAGTCATAATTATAATAATATAAGTAATCAAAAGTAAATAATCAAAATATTTATTTATTAGTCTTGAATGTAGATGTTCCCAATAAGATGTAGACAGAGTACATAAAAATCCGTACATTCTAGTATTTTGACATGCAAATATTAAATTACAATTTATTTCTTAGCAACACTAATAATCACTTATAAATAGATTTAATATGATAATTATGAGTATGAATCGTTATTACATTATAATAATTAAAATTATTGTATAATTATTGTTATTAAAATAACGATATTAATTAATTTGCATCCATCCGCTTAAAAATACAATGATGTGTCTTACCTGGATTGAAGAGCACCTCCCGCTATCCCTCAATTGCATGGACTAATCCCGTCACCACTAATCCCAGCACCACCAGACTGGTGACGGGATTAGTGCATGCAATTGAGGGAGAGCGGGAGGTGCTCTTCAATCCAGGTAAGACACATCATTGTATTTTTAAGCGGATGATTGCGAATTAATAATATCTTTATTGTAATGGATTTTCGCAAAGTAACGCCTTAACACTTACATCGTAATAATACATTATGATATCATTATAAGATCTACAATATCTGTAACGCTCAATTACAAATAATGCTCTTATTTATATCTCATGGGGTGGAGACCTGGTGATTTGTAATACAGGCATTTTATTGCCTATCTCAAACACCAGCTCTTCACAGATTCTAGGCTATGAGTATGAACATACCTGTATTCAAATAGATTTAAGTTTTTATTGTGTATGGTCGGTATTTGTGAGGAGAAATAAACGTTATTGTTATTATTGGGGGGTATCATTATAGTTTTCGTGTCTGGTTGGGTTTTTTAAATATATCATTATAAAAGGAAATAAAAAGATAAATATACAGCGAGCTTGAGGTTCGTGACAATAAAAACTGCCGATTGAATTACCAAAATTAACTCTTTAATTCACTTTACACTAATTAAAACTTAGAACACTAATAATTAATCACACTGATTCACATTATTTCGCTCCGAAGCTTCGCTTGTCTTGCCAAATTCAATACTTCCCGCTCGCATCTTGCAGCGCATTATACACATTATCACCGAAACATACAGAATATTCAAGTAAATACGCGCGCCAATCGACTAGGCGCCGAAAATTCGAGTTTCTAGGGCTTCTAGAAGCTTAGTTCTTCGTTTCGATACTAGATGGCGCTGTCGGTTGAAAGATTAGTGATGTCATTTTCTGGAAAGCTCCCCTCGCTCTCGTCCTCGACACTAGATGGCGCTAGTGCCGGGTACATGACGTCAACTTAGGCGCGCAACACTGCCCCCTCCTAAGACATGCTCGTCCCGAGCATTATCGGCCCCATAATAACGCGCCAGGCGATCCACATGGCCGATCTTAGGAGTCCCTCTTGAGCCTTTTTGTATCCGGTTTCGCAATGTCAAAGGCTCTCCTATCCCATGGTGCACCAACATTGTACAATTTCGATGCTCCTCTACTACGTGTCTGAGGTCCCCTCACAGCCGCACAACTTGTACATGTACGACACAAATCCTCGACATCGTCACGATAATGGACCCAGTAAAACTGTTCTCGGATCTTCAGTAGAGTTCGTTTAAATCCCAGGTGGACTCCTGAACAACCAGTATGGTGCAGCTGTAGAACATTCGGCACTTTAGCTTTATGGACAACCATTTGCAAACGACAGCTGTCTCCTTGACCATTGTCCCATTTACGGCACAGGACTCCATCCTGAATCAGCGAGCTGTCCCATTAGGCCCAATAGCTTCTCGTGGTTAAACTCATCGCTGAGACGTCGCTCTACTTACGCTTGGTAGCACGGGCCTTCATCCATTCCAGAATCGGCTTGATGTCCGGATCTTCCTGCTGTGCATGTCGTAGGCTGTCGTTCCACTCGTTGCTGAGGTGGTCTGTCCTGCGCATCCTCACGGATACCACTTCCTTACTCTCTTGCCTAGTATAATGTTTCCAATCTTCAGGACAAGGTCTTCTTGACATTGCATCTGCGTTGCCATGAGATTTCCCGCTGCGATGTCTGATAGTAAAGTCGTATCCCGGCTACTGCTGGGCGGTGATGTTAGCCGCACTTCCCTTCTGAGATCGTTCACCTTCCCTTTCTAGGGTTCGCTTAGGGCAGCTGGATCGAAGATAGCCCCTTTCCCCACAGCCATAGCACCTAGGGCTGTATCCTTTATTGTGGTCGCGAACCGTAACTGCTGCAACCTTCCTAGCGCGAGGGGAACGACGATCCTGCCACCGCCAGGCGGTGCCGTTAGCTGCACTACCCTCTCGAGATCGATCAACTTCCCTTTCTACAGTTCGCTTAGGGCAGCTGGATCGAAGATGGCCCCTTTCCCCACAGCCATAGCACCTAGGGCTGTATCCTTTATTGTGGTCGCGAACTGTAGCTGCTGCAACCTCCCCGACGCGATGAGAACGATGATCCTGTCGCACGGCTTCCACCTCCAGTGCATGGACCAAAGCGTCCTTAAGCGTTTCGTGGTGCCCCAGCCTCACAGCAGCTCTGACTTCAAGGTCGCGGATGCCGTCGATGAATGTCTGCACCAGGTTTCCTTCAATGAGCGCAGGTACGCGGTTGTACTGCACGCGGTCTTTAAGCTGCGCACAAAAGACGTGTATTTTATACCAACCAAGAAATCTGTAGTCTTAGTCCGTTAGATATTGGACTATTATTTAATTTATTTAACCCAGCACTCATTATCAGGTAGTATTTTGTGTAAATCGACTGCTAATTTATCTGGTTGGTACCAACCAAATTACTTACAAAATAATTACGTATAACTTAAAGTATTTAATCAGCTAAAATTCATTTAATATTGTTTTATATAGTTTTTAATAACCGTCAAATCATAATTATATTAAATTATAAAGCTTAGTTAAATTATATTGACGATATTATAATTTTTTTCTTTATTGGGTTTAAACTATCAAAATAAGTAAGGGAATTAGTTTTCATTTCTTTATAACTGTAAACAAAATTGTATAAAACTACTTATGAATTATATTTTATAAGATATAAACTTCTTGTTTGTATAATTTATCAGGCATTCGCACTAGTCTCCCAATCCCAGTCAACATGCTAGAAGATAAGGAGCAAATTAGGAAACGAGCTAGCTACAAGGGACGAATAACTGCTTTTTCAAATTATTTAAATTCGCTGAAGGTATCTTCATTGGCTGCTACTGAGGTTAATGAGTTGCAATTACGTATTGGTAGGATTGAGTCAATCTATGAACGATATGATGAGGTACAATTATCCATCGAGTAATATGTATCAGACGAACTGAGTTTGAATCCCTTTATTTTAAATCGCTTTCCCTTGCAAAAAGGATTTAAGCAGATTGCATTAAGTCAGATGACGCAAACAGTGACGGTGGCTCTCATTCCGGCAATCATAATATTGTTAAACTGCCCACTATTCAACTACCTAAATTTAATGGTTCTTATGATAATTGGTTAGAGTTTCATGACACGTTCATGAGCCTCATACATTCAAATGACGAGATAGATGACATAAATAAGTTTCACTATCTGAGAGCGTCGTTGGAAGGGTCCGCTGCTGTGGTAACACAGTCAATCGAATTCTCGGCAGCTAATTACACTATATTATGTGATAGATATGATAATAAAAGACTACTAATTCAAAATCATGTGGCAGCCTTATTCACTCTTATTTTGCCTTTTGCGCAGCAAAATATAGCACCAATTAATAAAGAATTGTCTGTCAACTTAAAACGTCTCATTGATCAAATAAATAAAAATTTACGTGCATTAGAATCCCTCGGTGAGCCAACTAAACATTGGGACACACTTCTCATTAATATTATTACTCAAAAATTAGATGCTAAGACATATCGTGAAAATGGGAAGAGTCTAAAGGTTGTTTGGAGAAAGATACACCTATTACGTTCGATATATTTTTGATGTTTTTAAAAAATCGAGCCGATTTAATCGAAACACTAGAAATGTCTCATTCTGCTGCTACTAACCGTTTAAATTCTTCTATAAAATATGCTCCAAAAGTTAAGGCAATGCTTTCAGTTCGGGATACCGGTAATAAAAACGGTTCGGCTTTTTCCGCCAAACTGTGCCCTAAATGTAAGGGTGACCATAAGTTAAGCAGTTGTCCTCAGTTTCTTGGATTAAGTAACGATGCGCGTCTACAGTTACTGCCAGAATATAAAGTATGTTTCAATTGCTTAATTCAGACATTATGCAAATCACTGCAAAAATTATGCCACCGAAAGCATAACACTCTCGTGCACGTCGCAGATTACCAGTCAAAACCAATTATAGATATTAATACATCTTATACGAGTAGTGGTAATAATAAGCCTGTTATGCAAGGTTATTTCGAACAAAAAAACACTTCGACGGGCTTACAGTCGTCATCCAATTCTAACGCACATTCGTGTCATTGAACGCGACGGCGACGGCATTAATTAAAGTTATAGGTAAGAATGGTTGTCCATATATTGCTCGTGCTATTCTTGATAGTGGCAGTAACGCTTGTTTAATAACTGAAGAGTTATATCAAAGGCTAGGTTTGCCCGCTCTAAATGTAAATCAGTCGGTAGTCGGTATTAATAATGCTTCGGCACACATCAAGAAGATTTGTAAGGTATCGATAAAATCATTGAATGATAACTTCTCTAGTAATCTTCATTGTTTTGTCCTACCATCAATAACCGAAAATGTACCTACTAGATATGTTAATTTGTCAAACTTAAAAATTCCATCTAATATTTCTCTGGCAGATCCTAATTTTCACTCACTTGCTCCCGTTGACATGCTTATATGTGCTGACGTCTTTTGGGACTTAATAGGAACGCAGAGATTAAAATTAGGGGACGGTCAGCCGATTCTTTGTGAAACTAGCTTAGGATGGTTAGTATCAGGTCCGATTGATTATAGATATGTAAAGAAGGGGGTCAACTCTATTAAATGTAATTTTACAAGAATCTTTCAAGATGAGGCTAGTAAAGATTTAGATGAAGATATACAAAAACAGTTAGTACGCTTCTGGCACCTCGAAGAGTTAAGCCCTGCGCCTCATTATTCAAACGAAGAAAATTATGCGAAGAACACTTTTTAAAAAACACCACGCGACTGGCAAATGGTCGATTTTGTGTGAGGATATCCTTAAAACATAATCCTGACGTATTAGGTGATTCTTGGCCACGAGCTAAGAAGTGTTTACTATCGCTAGAGCGCAGGTTAGCAGGTCTCAGCTCTATGAAATGTATAAAGAATTGTCAGAGTATGAAAGTCTGGGTCATATGGAGAAATGTGAGAATGATAATTTACCACTTAAGGTGCATTTTATACCACAACACGGTGTGCTGCGGGAAAGTAGTACTACTACTAAATTAAGAGTCGTTTTCAATGCTAGCAGTCCGACTTCTTCTGGTGTTTTATTGAATAATATACAGATGGTAGGTTCCGTGGTACAGGACGACCTTTTGTCCATTATTTTACGCTTTCGGCTACACAAATACGTTCTCACAGCTGATGTTGAGAAAATGTACCGGCAAATAGTCATTCATCCCGATGATCGCTATTTGCAACAAATTGTCTGGCGTGATAACCCTTCAGAACAGCTTCAAGCTTATCAACTTAACACCGTGACTTACGGCACCTCTAGTGCTCCCTTTTTTGGCAACTAGGTGCCTCCAACAATTAGGTTTAGAGTGTACCGATGACAAGGTTGCTCAAGTGATCATTCACGATTTTTACGTTGATGACTTGCTAACGGGAGGGGATGATATTAACGAGGTTACAGATTTGCGCCGTAAAGTGACTTCCACACTTGCATCAGCTCATATGGTTTTGCGAAAGTGGAAGTCGAATGAATTTCAACTGGTTAGTGAAAATGATATTTCTTCGCTTGATTTAAATATTGGTGGCTTTGAACCGACTAAAACTTTAGGCCTTGATTGGCAATCACATACTGACCAACTTTGTTTCCCTATAGGAGGGCTATTCGCAGGTAAAACAAAGCGTGATATGTTATCTGTGATTTCACAGATTTTTGATCCACTAGGACTTCTATCTCCCTGTGTAATTAAGATGAAGATGCTTCTCCAACAGTTGTGGCTGCTCAAGCTGTCGTGGGATGAGCAGTTGACGCCAGAAATCAGCAAGATGTGGGCTGAGATAATAGTCGATTTATCTAAATTAAATACTCTACGTATTCCACGTCGTATTATTTGTGACTCGCCTAGTTTGTTAGAATTTCGTATTTTCTCAGACGCTTCTGAGCGTGCATATGGCGCCTGTTTATATGTTCGTAGCGTTAATGATTAGGGTGAGGTTTTAATTCAATTATTGATGGCGAAAAGTCGTGTCGCACCGCTTAAACCTATAACAATCCCAAGACTGGAACTTTGTGGTGCACTTGTTGGAGCTCGCCTTTACCAAAAAGTTGTAGGATCGCTGAGACAACAAGCTAAGCGCACTTTCTTTTCGTCCATTGTGTTAGGATGGTTAAAGGTGTTACCTAGCAAGCTACAACCTTTTGTTAGAAATAGAGTTGCTGAAATATTAGAGAATACTGGAAATTGCGAGTGGAGGCATGTCCCAACAGAGTGTAATCCAGCCGATCATATTTCTCGCGGTGTGAGTTGTAAGGATATTTCATTCATGAGTAAGTGGTGGTCAGGACCTGAATTTTTAAAGAAAGAGGTCTCTCACTGACCTGCAAATTTCTTAAGTATTAATCACGAGTTGCCTGAGATTAAATCGTCAAATGTTATCCTCCACGGAATACTTCATTCTTACAACAATGAAGATTTAGGTGGTAATAAATTAATTGAATTTAAACGCTTTTCTAAATATACTAGATTGAATCGGGCCGTTGCTTATGTGCTGCGTTTTATTAATTATTGTAGAAAGCAATCCGTTCACGGTCCTCTTAGCAATCAAGAGTTGCAAACCGCACTCAATGTTATTATAAGCATATCTCAGAGTGAATCATTTAAGGAGTACACCATGTTAATTAAAAATAAAAGCTTACCCACTAAAAGTCCGTTACATAAATTTAATGTATTTCTCGATGATAATAAAGTAATGCGTGTTGGAGGGCGTCTTGAAAATTCCGATTACTGTTATGAGAAAAAACATTCCATACTTATACAGTCCACTCATTATTTTACCAAATTGCTCTTCAATTATGAGCACATAAGGTTAATGCATGCAGGACCACAGCTAATGTTAGACACTATAAGAGAGATGTACTGGCCGATAAGAGGTCGTAATTTGGCCAGATCTTGTTATCGAAAATGTGTAAGATGCAATAGAATGAAAGGAAAAACAATCTCTCCAATAATGGGCAACCTACCACAACAACTTCTGGTTTTCCATTTCAGAATATTGGACTAGACTATGCGGGACCAATTCAATCTGTTTCTCGCCATGGCCGTGGTTGTAAAATTGTAAAGGTGTATATAGCTATTTTTATTTGCTTCGTGACTAAGTCAATTCATATTGAATTTGTGGGTGATTTAACTAGCAATGCCATATTAGCTTTGCACAGATTTATGTCAAAAAGAGGGAAACCTCTTAATATTTATTCTGATAATGGTACCTCCTTTGTAGGCGCATACAATAACATTTCAAAATTTATTAAGACGTATTGAAATTCCTTATTTGAGGTAATGGCAAATGAAGGAATTAATTTCCATTTTATACCGCCTTATTATCCACATTTTGCTGGGCTTGCGGAAGCTGGTGTCAAACACATTTAATATCATTTAGTTAGAGTGCTGGGCAATTGTAATTTGACTTATGAGGAACTAAATACCACATTAATACAAATTGAAGCTATACTTAACTCCAGACCACTCACACCTTTGTCAACGAATCTTGAAGACTTGCTACCACTAACGCCCGGTCATTTTTTGATTGGACGCCTCTTGACTTCCTTGCCGACACCAGACTATAAAGATTTTTCCGTAAGCTCTTTAACCCGATTTCAACGAATAGAACAATTACGTCAACATTTTTGGGCTAGATGGAGCAAAGAATATATATCAGAGCTTCAACTGCGGATGAAATGGCGTTCCTCTAAAGGATCTTTGAAGTTAAATTCACTGGTGCTCCTAAAAGAGGAGAATTCACCGCCATTAAAGTGGAAGATGGGTCGCATCATCGCAGTCCATCCAGGCTCGGATGGCTTACCAAGGGTGGCGGATATTAAAACATCGACTGGTATAGTTCGCCGATCATTTAGCAAAATTTGTCTGCTTCCTGAACCTGAAGAATCTGGTTGAAAGGTAGACTTAAAACGCCGGGGGCATGTTGAAGCGCCTGTCAAATTATATTAGCAGTTCTAATGCCAATATTAGTTCGTAAGCCGTGTAGGTTTTATATATATATATATATATATATATATATATATATATATATATATAGCCGCTATGTTTTTAAAACAAAATACAGTTGTATCTGTCATCGTTTGTAAAAAAATTAGAAATAAAAAAGTCGATTGAGCAAATTACTGCATTTTATTATTAAAAGTAATATAATACACGTAGCGAAGATGTTGTAGCTACTACGGGAGCTATATTTCCATCTCCAAGTTTGAGTTCGTCCAGTGATTTCTTCATGTCAGTCATTACGTTGTCAACCCGATTGCTTACTTGGTTGATTCGGGTTTCAGCTTTCAACAGGCGGTTGTCATGTTGAGCAACCTAATCATTCACCTCCCGTATCTCTTTTCCGAAGGTAGCGTGAATTTCCTTCATGAGGAGCATCTGCTCTTCCAACCGACGGGCCTGTTCCTCTTGTCGGTGGGCCTGTTCATCCTGTCCGCCCCGCAGCTGCTCTTCCAACCGACGGACCTGTTCCTCCTGTTGGCGGACCTGTTCCTCCTGTCGGCGGGCCTGTTCCTCCTGCCTACGGGCCTGTTCATCCTGTCCGCATCGCAGCTGCTCTTCCAATCGACGGACCTGTTCCTCCTGTCGGCGAGCCTTTTCCTGCAGCATCACCATCAGAGCACCTAAGTCGGGTGCTGCAGATGTAGGAGCTACTGACGGGCCTGCAGCCGGTGGCTAGCCCTCCAACGTCTACGGCGTTGCACCACCAAATCTTCTTTGGACCTTCCGTTTCCTCCTTAGGTAAAATCGGCATGATTTAATCCCACTTCTGAAACCAATTATTGTGAGCTTGAGGTTCGTGACAATAAAAACTGCCGATTGAATTACCAAAATTAACTCTTTAATTCACCTTACGCTAATTAAAACTAAGAACACTAATAATTAATCACACTGATTCACTTTATTTCGCTCTGAAGCTTCGCTTGTCTCGCCAAATTCAATACTTCCCGCTCGCATCTTGCAGCGCTTTTAAATATACATTATCACCGAAACATCCAGAATATTCAAGTAATCGCCAATCGACTAGGCGCCGAAAGTTCGAGTGTCGAGAGCTTCTAGAAGCTTAGTTCTTCGTTTCGATACTAGGTGGCACTGTCGGTTGAAAGATTAGTGATGTCATTTTCTGGAAAGCTCCCCTCGCTCTCGTTCCCGACACTAGATGGCGCTAGTGCCGTGTACTTAACGTTAACTTAGGCGGGCAACAATATCAATAAATTAAATAAATATAAAATACATAAATAAACAAAAGCCCAACCAGATGAAAGCCCTCGGCAGGGGAGACCAAACGAACATGGGCTAGGGGGAACGGGAAAGAAACCGGAGGACGATGCGAGTAGTATCGATGAGCACCGCCTTCTGCAATTGAGCCTGGAGCGGTCCGCCATGCAGTCCCAGCCGCTTCAGATGAGGCCGGAATGATAGCCAAGAGGCTGACTGGGATTAGCCCGTTTGCAGAGACGACTACAGGATTAATTTCGGTCGGCAAACCACCCCACATATCGGTCATCTCGTGAGCCAGGTCCAGATATTTTGTTCGTTCGTTCGGCTTTCACGAGGATCTCGTCATACGGAATGGTAATGTAGACCAAAAATATCATTGAATCTTACCGGTCCATCAGCACAATATCAGGCTTATTCGTAAGAATAGTCCTGACTGTGATGATGGCCCGGTCCCAATAGAGCCTGGCGCGATCATTTTCAAGCACGGCTTCCGGCAAGTACTTGTAATACGGCAATTTCCGATCCACGAGACCGTATCTTTGAGCAAGCTCCTGGTGAAGAATTCTGGCTACTAGGTTGTGTCTGTGCAAGTACTCAGAGTTAGAAAGCGCCGAACGACCGGAGATGACATGTCTAAGTGACTCACCGGGATGGAAACTGAGATATACTGGATAACTCGAAATTTAAATAATAAAACACGGTGTGACTTCATAACATGTATTGAGCGACTGGCTAGTGAAAACGCGCGGTGGCGCCTACCTACATAGTACAATATTAATCTATACCTACATATATCACAGCAACAAGCTCGACAGATGTCGACGGTGCCATCCTTTAGGATGTATCTGCGATAGTTGTTGGTCTTAATAACCTGATCTTGTATTGCACAGACAGAACCCTCGGTTTCCCTGAAGAGGTCACCAAAGCGTAGCCAGTGGATGGAGGCTACTGTGTACACGAAAGGCTCATGTAGAGCCTAGTAGAACCTCCCGTGGAGCTCCTTCTCCTTCCATACGGTCTCCCGGTCAGAAATGCTCTGCACTGCCGGGTCTTGCCATTGCTCGTTGGCTAAGGATAGAGCGGTAAGTCCTTCATCACAAGAAATAACGTCCTTATAGAATGGATCATCCGATCTTGCCAGGAAGTAATGACGGAGGCTGCACATTTCGCGATTATGCATGGTGAGTGCGCTCAGGAAGCCTCGCCCACCATGCTTTCGCGGCAAGTTCAGCCTCATTACCGACGATCTCGGATGATGCACCCTATGGGACGTCATGGTAGTGCGCACTTTTCTATCCAGGGCGTTAAGTTCAGTCTGAGTTCACCTGAGTATACCAAAGGTATACATGAGGACAGGCATGACGCAGCCGTTATATGCGTGTGCCTTATTCACACCGGACAAAAGGCTGTTAAGCACTTTGGTCAAGCGTGCATAAAACACGTCTCAAACTGACTGTTTCATACCAGCCTCATCGATACCGATGTTCTGTGACATACCCAGATATCGGTATGTTTCAGCCTCGGAAGGGGTTCTTAAGTTGATGGGCATAGATAAGTCTATGCCCTCAGAGTTAGCAACCCTTCCCCTTTCAACATGGAGGACCGCACACTTATCCGTCCCCAGCTCCATTCCAATGGAATTGCTAAATTCGCAAGTAATGTTTAGCAATTCCATAAGATGGGAGCGACTGGAGGCGAATAACTTGAGGTCATAAAGTGGGTCACTTTTGTACCTCCTTTCCGTAGCTGAAATCCCCTCCCGGAGCCCTCCAGTAAAGTACTGAGAGGGTTCAGAGAGATGCAGAACCAGATCGGACTCAGACAATCGCCCTGGAAGATACCCCTTCTCTTATCCTTATGTGGTTCTCCGGAGCCATCATCCGTTCGCCCAGATGACAAAGGATCGTACTCCGCTACCCAATACACTGCTAGAGGAGGTCTATAACTGTACAATCTATCTTGTACAGCTCGAGGACTCTCTTTAGCCATGTATGGGGCACCGAGTCGAATGCCTTTCTGTAGTCTATCAAGGCGGCGGAGAAGATCCAACGGTTGCGTTTCACCACTTTTCCAATGACCGCGTCAATGAAGAGTGGTTCATTAGTTCCACGACCACCGCCCCGACATCCATTTTGAGTGCGCGACATCACCTGATTTGAGTCCAGGTGACGAGTGATTCTCGCGCTCAAAATGGATTTTAGTGTCTTGTATATGATCGGTAGACACGTGATGGGGTGGTATTTGCTCGGGTCTGTGGTACCCTGGTCTTTAGGAACCAAATGGGTGATCCCAGTAGTGAAGGGGGCTCGGGAGCGGCTTCTGGTTGAGAGCCTCTTGAAACTATCGGGCGAGCACAGTGTGACACACCACGAACCCCTTCAGCCAGTAGTGATGCAGCCCGTCGAGTCCCGGACTTTTCCAGTTCGGGTCCCTACGGACAGCCTCAGCTATGTCATCCGGTGTTATAATGACGGCGTCCATGGGCGTCATACTCGCACGCTGACTCGCCACAACTTTCGTCCAAGGGCCTTCGCTGTAGTTTACGGGCTCTGACCACAGGCCGCGCCATAATGCTACAGTGTCCGCCTGATTCGGTGCTGAGCCCGTTACACTTACCATTGGTCGCTCCAATTATTCATAAAGCCTTTTCTTATCACTCTGGAAGAGACGATTCTGGTTGAACCGTGTCGACCTCTCGGTATATCGCCGAATCCGCTTTCCCCAAGCAGCGATTCTTTGCTTTTCAGATCATCTATGCGCTCCGTCAGTTTTTGCGTTATATCCGGCTGGGACAAACTGACATTTTTCCCAGCAAACGCCATCCTGACGGTCCGCACAATTATTGGCCTATTATTGCCAAATCTGAAGCATATCAGTCTGCCGATGACAGCTCTAGCCTTTGCGATACGTTCCTCAATTCTTCTTCTCCATGCTGGGATAGCGCTACTTTGGCCAGTAGCGCGTCCAACCGTGGAAACCTTGGCGCCTATGATAAGGCAGACTGCCAGCGTGGCGCTAAAAAGAATTGAGTCCGTCTCGCAAAGGTCCCGACTGGCTTCCAAATAGGCCACCAGCATTGGGTTCAGAGCCCTCACGACAGCCCGATTCCGCTTGCTTAGGCCTATGTGGGGAAGTCGCGGTCGATTTTCGAAAGGCGTACTGCGCGTTTCCACAATCACCTCTTCCAATGCTCTCCTCATATGCTCTAATTCCAGTTCCTGGGCGACTGTTCCATCTTCGTTTGAATTAACCACAACTGGCGTATTCACGGCGGCATCCACGTTAGTGGGTTGCTCTACAATTTGTGGCGCCGCATCCTCAGCTGTAGCATTTTCATCCGATGAGGGAACAGCCTCACGTCGTAGCCGTTCGAGTTCGGCGATATCAAATATATTTGAGCGCAATATATACCGAACTCGGTCTGCCAGGTTTAGCTCTGTGACGGTTAAAGATGGCTCCAACTCAGCAAAAAGACGATGCATCCTAGCCCGATACGCCAAACATCCAATTTCTTCCCCTTTTGCCCTAAAGTACGACCGCAGTGCGTTTGCGTTCATTGTTTGTGACCAACGCATGCGACGTGCTCCACCAGCGGCGGGTGCCGCTTGCTGAGTCCGAGAAGACCCAGCCGACACCAAGCCTTTTGGTGGGTATGATGGATGCGGAGGGCTGCTAGGTGACCGTGCAGCTCCTCGCGCTCGGCTGGCGGCCCGCATGCTGCCGCGTCCAGCGCTCCAGAGCTCCAGACGCGCCCTGTTCATTTTCATCAATTATGTTCATCAATTATTGTTATTATATAAATTTAGATCATAGAATTTTTGTTAAAGATGGTACATGTTATAAATTATTAATATAAACAGCATAATACGAATAATTAACTAACTTTACTTTATTTAAGTATGGGTATCATTTAAAAAGTCTGATATTGAGTGCCATATATATAGAACCCCTCCTATAGCAAAGAAGTTAGACCCTTTTAAACATTCTTATGGGTACCGCGATTATGGTTTTTTTTACATAATTTGGGATTTTGTTATAAATAACATGCAGAGGCCATGCCCGTATTACTGTTTTTGATAAATGTGTTTTAAATCTTCCTGTTCACGATGATTCTGTATGTTGCGATCTCGTAGATACAGTCCATACTCGAGTTTCGTTTAAGGTAGGAAACGAGTGATGATTAATTTTGACAAATAACGCTATTTGTAGGATAAACAGACGCGGAAAACGTCTTTAAATTAAATATTGCTCTTGTGCAGCGCTTTTGTGCTTTGAAAATCATTTCTCTGTCATGACAATTGTCCCAAAATATCACCGTATATTAAAATGGAAACTAATAGGCCATGGTAAGCTACTAGCACTGTTTTGATATCGACTTATTAGTCAGCTTATAGAGTGCATATGGAGACACACTTAGTTTCTTACTGACATCATCTGCTTGGGTCTTCTAAGACAATTGGCGGTCCATAAAAATACCTAAAAAAATTTGCGACATCTACTCTTTCTATTATTTGATTATTGAAATTTATATTTTTTTTAAAGACGTTACCTCCACACTAGGATTTTCTCCTGTATCGTGGGAGCAGTTTATAAACATAAATTTCACAAGGACAAACATCCAGACCCGGAACAATTACCTGTAGGTTATACAAATATTCGTTCCGTGCGGGATTTGAAACCGCGGCCCTTAGCGCTGTAAACTCATTGCTAAGCCACTGCGCCACGGAGCCGTCAATCGTCAGTTATCAGTGCGAAGTTTCTGGTAAAACTATAGTATTTTAGTTTTTTGAATGTTGATATGTGAATTGTTATAATTCTGCCAATTAATTATAATTTTAATCGTAGTTTTTATATAATTTTACTGTGTGTATGTGTATGTCGTCGGCAAATAATACCAATGGATGATGAGTTTAACGTGGTCATTTATATAAAGTTAAAATTGAAAAAAAAGTGGCCCAAGGACACTCCCCTGCGGTACGCCGAACTTTATGATCAGATATGATTTTATTAGATTAAGAATGTTACCTCGAATGCCTTATGCGTTAAGTTTCTGTAATAGTACGTCATGGTTTACATAATCGAAGACTTTGACTTGTCATTATGTATAGCATATAACACATATGGGGGTTTTAGTGTCTACATTAGCCATTATCGTCGTTAATAAGTTAAAAACAGCCATATAAAAAAAGTAAGTAACATGTTAGTCAAATGGATATTTTTGCCTTTATTTTTTCGGAACCCATATTGATTATCGTAGAGTATATTAAATTTAACCAAAAATGCGTAACTGGATTCGTAAAAAACGTTCTCCATTATTTTAGAAAACACGGAAAGCAAAGCAATCGGTCGATATTTAGATACGTCTTCTTTATTATTCCTTTTATAAACTGGTTTAACTATAACCGTTTTCAGTCTTTCGGAAAATATTCCCACTAACATTAATAATATGACTAAGAGGTCCACATATGCTGTTTAATACGAATTTAATAACTTGCGTTTAAATATCACTATAATCAAAACTTTTAGTTTTTGAATGATTTTGTCAACCGCATTATATTTTATGGTACAATTGGTGATATAAATATCGAGTGTGAGTTGTAATTAATTTTTTTTTATATTATTTAATACGTTTTTTTGTATATTTGTTATCTGTTCGATAAAAAAAGTTGTTGAATGATTCAACTATTTTTTAGGTTTCGTTTTTAACAATTCATTTTTTTCTGAGAAATAGGTTCCTTAATTGTTTTGTTATTATTTATTATATGCCAAGATGTTTTGGATTTGATTTTTGAGTTTTGGATGAGATGGTTATTTTAAGCTTACTGGGTCAGTTGTATTATTATATTTTGGAATCTTGGGGAATATGTATCAGGTACTACCGAGCGCTAGATTTTCCTGGCTCCATAGCCTCACGCAGATCGAGTTGGAGACCATGGAGGAAGGCGTGCCTTGTATTCCTGGTGCGCCTTGCCTGAGAAGGAGAATGGGGAGGGTGGGTCCTCCCCCTCCCCCGAGGAGAGGCTGTCATGCCGCGGCGGCAGGTGGGGCCGCAGATGCTTATGAAAGCGTTCCCTTGGCCCTGCCAATATGCGGCGAAGATTCACACGGTGCAAGTCCCGCATAACCCGTCCTTGCCCCCGCGAGGTGGGTATACCTAGAAAATTCCTATTGTAAAAATAAACAAACAAAATCCAGGTTGTAACTTTACTTTATTAGGAGAATCGTATAGATACTCCAATTTCTTTAACTGATCGATAAGTAGACTTTTATTTTTGAGTTGTTATCAATATGTTTCCAGTAAATAAAAATCCTTTTTACTGGGAACGAGGTATTCCATCTTAGCCTTCAGGGATGACAATGCATCTGCATTATGATTCTTAATCGATGCCTATGGGCACAGTATTCATTTAGCATCAAGTGGACTGTGTACTGGTTTGTCACCCTTATATCCCGTTTAATTTCCCTCAATTGCTTTTTTCGATACCCAGGGGTGATATGGGGTAGTGGACTCGCTTTAGTCACACATTTAATTAAATACACTAACAGTTTAATGACGTTTTCACCACAAACATTTTTACCACATTATTATTCTCAACACGTTATTATCGATCTAATTCCTATATAAAAAAGGACAGAAAAAAGCACTAGGTACCTCTAAATGATTTTATATTTACAAAAAAAGTAAGTAACAAAAAAATGATTTTAAATTTACAAAAAAGTAAGTAATGTTAGTCAAATGGATTTCATTATTAAATTGTTTCATGTTCTACCGTACTCTCTTACAGGCTTGCTGAGGGGAGCATTAAAACTATTCACTCTTTGTTTCCGTGCATTTAAAGTCTGATTTTTGTTACAAAGGCATTATTTTCAACCACAGAGGTTTTTTATTGGTGTTAATTTGTATTTATTATGATTATATTAAAATAGTTTCTTCTGTGCACAATCATATTATGTTAGAAAATGTTGTAGTCATCAAATTGCTTTGTATTTTTAATGTTTCTAAATACAAATAAATGAAAGATAGTTGTAAAACTTTCTTAATTCATGTGCCAATGCAATTGCTTCATAACTAAAACAGTACCTTTAAATGGTAAATCATTTTTATGTCATAAAATATGTGAGGATATTTAAATAGTGTTACGAGCTTAAGGTTCGTGACAATAAAAAATGCCGATTAAATTACCAAAATTTACACTTTTATTAGAGAACACCAATTAAAACTTAAATCACACTAATCATTAATAACACTTAACACTTTGGTTCACTTTATTTCATAATAAACATAAACACTCACGCCTGTCACCCAGAGGGGTAGGCAGAGACTACAGACTTCCATTTGGCACGATCCTGACACACCTCTCTCGCCTCCTTCACATCCATACACCTCCGCATACATGCTCGTCGGTTAAGGGTACTCCTAATTTGGCCCGTTTTCAATAAATCGCCAATTTGGTCGATAAATTTTCGCCTAGGACGTCCCTTTCCGACTC